TGTCAATTTTTGACTGTGCAAGTTTACAAAAGAGCTTAGCTTGATCAGATGAAAAAAACACGAGTCATTTCCTGTTTTGACATTTTAAATATTTTAGAAAGACATTGAAATAACAGCTGAAAGGTAGACATGGTTTGGTGTCAGTGTGCATGTCTGGGTATAAATGGGTCATTCAACAACATGCGGATTCCCCCAAAGCAAACAGGAAACGATTCACTACCAGGGTTATCATGTTACTCCATGCTGTTAAATGAGCTGGTTACACAGAACCGCAGTGTTTTCTCATCCTCGATGCTAATTTTGAATCAATCAAACTCAGAGAACAAGAGAAAATACGAGCGTGATCCTCCTGGCTGTGACCTTGCTATTGGTGCATCTCCTCTGTTTCATAATTCAGCCTCAGCAGTTGTGGAAATGTTTGTGTCAAAGAGGAAGGAGGCTGGAGGTGATGCATGTAGACACTGCATCACGAGTGGTGGGGCTTTACCCAGATCTATGGGTGGAGGGAAGGCAGCGCTGACTTGACCCGGCAATGCAGAAACATCATGGAGGAGGAAGAACTGCACACGCCAACTCTGTCTTCATCTGGGGGAGCCCTGCCTGTTCCTCTCTCTGTGTAAATCCAGAGCTGGAAGCTGCAGCCATCCCACCGACAGGCTCACATGCCACATCGCTGCATGTCACGGCTGACAGTGAAACTCCCTCTGCAGCAGGGTGATAAATACGGAGGGCCATAAGCACCAAAATCAAGAACTCCATAATTATTTGAATGTTTTATTGATTATTATTAAATACTTAAATGGTAAAATTGTTGGCATTTTCATAAATGGTGGGACTTGATTAAAGCTGCAGCATGAAACTTTTATCAAAATATATATTTTTACGCATTTGTTGAAACTGTCCCCATGTTGTGACAGTTTGGTATGAGACAGATAATTTGTGAAAAAATTTGAGCTCCTCTGCCTTTTCCCATTGACAACCAATCAGAGCCAGGAGGCGGGTCTTTGCGCTGTCAATCACCCCATTGCTCTCTGATCAACCACAGCTAGCATAGACTGTAGGAATGCTCAGGCTAGTTAGCATAGCCACAGACAATTGCAAGTAAACGGTTTTCCTGTTTCTCCACTATTAGCATATTTAAAACCGAGTACACAAGAGTGATTGACAGCGCTGAGACCCTCCCGCTGGCTCTGATTGGTTGTTTTGCCATTTCTTCAGATGGCAATAGTGGATCAGGGAGGAGGTGAAGCTTGATCTTTTCACAGATTACCTGTCTCATGCAGTTTTAGCAAATATGTAAAACATTTTTATAAAAGTTATCTACTGCTTCACTAATAGGCTAACTGCTATTAGCACAACATGAACACAAAAATAGTCTTTATAATTGTTTTTATTTTTAGCAGAAGCCCACTGGGCCAAGAGACGTGTCTTCGTCATCCATTGCTGTTGTCTGCCAGATGTTGCTTGTGCATTAGATTTATGGCGGCCCCAGAAACACAATACAAAGTTCCCAGCTCAGGACTTTTGGAAGTAAAACAGAAAAATGCAATTAATTAAAATAACATTTTATTCATAATTTTATTCTTCTTGTGCAGCAGTGTCTAAGGGGGCACTTTAGGCCCCCACCCACTGACTATTAAATAAAGTAGTCATTATGCTGTCACACGTCACTGACTAAATTAGCTAATTATTAAATGATAATGATTCTGTGCACTCTGAAAATAAAATATTTTTTTTTATTTCTGACATATCTTTCATGTTTTAATTAAGTGGTAACAGAAGCTATTGTATTATTTGTTCCTATCTGAATCTGTGGGAGCAAGCTAATATTAAATAACAGGGAGCCAAAGCTGGAACCTTGCGGAATCCCACATGTGATTTATGTTAGCTCTGATCAGAAGTTACCTATTGGCACAAAGAAATCCTTGTCCTTTAGGTAACATTGGAACCAGTCAAGTACTAAAGTTTATTCAATACCTACCATGGTCAACAGTGTCCAGTAGCAGCACTGGATCTCCCATAGTAGTTTGCCTCATTGACGTCATTAGCTAAAACGTTAATAATTATTTGAAGAAAAATATCAATAAATTTTAGGCAGACACTTAAGAAAATATGTTTGACTTTCTAGATTTACACGGTTTTCCCGCATTTGCAATTAATATCACATAAATATCAACGGAAAAGCCTGCCACGGAGCAAACCAAATGGAAGCCTGATGGGGGGGTGAACCTTTGACAACTACAATGAAGATAAGCAAAACATTTAAACGCAGCATCGAATATATATATTTACTTCTAACATTGAAATATTACTTACGATTTGTACATATTTTCTACGTCGCAGTGTTTAATATAAAAGTTTGCCGTAACTCCCCCCCGCCGCCGAGCGAATTGAAAGTTTCCATCCGTTCGGTCAGTCAGGTGATCCTTTCCGCTTCGCCATTTTGTGCTGCTGCGCCGGCTACTTATCTCAGGAGTCGTGACTCTCCCGTTTACACTGGTAGTTAGGTTATTAGACGGTTCCTGGTTTACCCGGCGTTGCTTCCCAAGCCCGTGGCCTTTTCTATTGCCTCCTGTAAAGTGCGCCTTTCCTCTTTTGGTTAACGGCTAATTGTTATTATTTTTGTACATTTGCTTTATTTTTTATACGTTATTTAGTGAGACAGAATGTCGAGCCCAGAGTACTCACCGTTCTTCGCAGTGATGGGAGCCTCCGCGGCTATGGTGTTCAGCGGTAAGTAACACACACTTTCTTTAAATTGATTTTTAATGTTTGTCACTCGCATGTCTGTTTGTATTTACAGATAAATGAGCTTAAATCCCATATAGTGTCATTTGCTAGCCGCGGTGCTCTTCTTAAAGCTCATTTAGCTATTCGGAATGCTAGCGATTCATTGCTAATAGTTAGCTGTGATTTGTCCTAGCTGTAAGGCAGAAAGGGATTTAAAATTATTTTTTAAACCGCCCTATTTGCATTTATTGTGTTTATTTGCTTCCACTTCTTAACCATAGCTAGCTATAACGAGCTAAGGCTTGTTAACTAGCTGGTGGTAGCTGTGTGAGTTAGCATTGACGCTAGCCTCATTTCAAATTACTCTGGCAAAGCGAAAGGACAAAACAGGAGTTATTTAATTATAATATTACACGTACAAAAGACACATTTCAACTGTATATTTGACGACAAACTTTAATTTGTTTCTCCTTAAATTTAATCGTGTGGTTAGTGAATTAATAGCTGATTACGCTAATTGCTATTTTCTCCACAAAGCTGCCGTTTACACTTTACCAATTCATTAACAATAATTAAAAAGTGTTGCAAAGTTGATGCTTAAGCAATGTTAAAAGTTGAGATCATAAAGCAAATGCATTAAAGATCGAGTCCACGCCATCCCACGTAAGCTGTATGAGTCAAAATCTGCGTAAACATGAAGGTGTAGCTTTAACTTCATGCTGATATATCTATTTTTTTTAAAATAAAGCTTTTGAAAAAGCTATTTTATAGTTTAAATGTCAATTTGAAACCGTGATCAGCTGGCTGACTTCCTATTCCTCAAAGGAATGACGAAGTCACATGATTATCACATGATGAGACTTCTGACTGGGCCATCTAGCTAGTGATCCCTTTATACATTTAAACTTTTAAATGTATAAATCGGCAGTGATTTTCATGCTAATGTTTGTCACTATCAGATATCAGCATATGATTATTATGTCCGATATTATGGCTGAAATTTGGATTTGAATTCAGACAGTTGGTAGAAAACTTGACAAACTGTAGCCTATGATATAACTTAAGATATTAATTGATATAAACTCAAACTTTGCTAACTTCAAGCTTTCATGGACTTTTTTTTTTCTTTGTATAACGGACAAGAGTGAAAATATGATGCACGTCTTTTGATATAGACAAAAAATATACAATAATTAATATTTATATAAATGCTTATAATATTAAACTCAAAGTGCATCAACATGGTTTTGGTTGATGCATCAAAAAACAAATCAGGAAAAAAAACTTGTTTTTAAAAAATATATCAAACTTATTGATTCAAAATACCAGTATCTGATCAATGAGCGACAAGATCAATACTTTAGTTTTAGTTTCCCTCTGCTCAAGTTTTCCAGTTCAAGAAATTTTGGTTTGATTTAGACTGAAATTAGATTTTTTTTCTTTCACTTTAAAGTAAAAATAGTTATTTTCTGTTTAGCGTGCAAGTATGTCATTAAAATATTTTGTAGGAATCTAAACTTTGTTGAAATTCTGTCCTAAGTTTTAACAAAATAACTAAAAGGAAAAACCCACAAAAACACCTAAAATTGAGAAGTTTTATATATTATACCCAAATAATGATTGGTTGGATTGTTACTAAAATATGCAGTGTTGCACACCACTACTCATCACTTATAAATGATCAACCAGTTGATTTTAAATGGTCTGTTTTGCTTTTTTCCAGTAATTATTAATCATTTTAGAGGATTGCTTTTGCAGGAAAAAGGGATGGGAATGTGTTGATTCTTGATGTGGAAACATCCTGCAGAGTAGAGACATTCACATCACAAAAACGGTAAAAAAGCCAGGATGCGTTGGCAGGTGGTAATGTGTTGCATTTCCTGCTAAAAGAGAAGTTCACAGATTGATGTTTCACTTGTCCTGATTTAAATGTGTGAAGCTCGGCTTCATATAACAAACTTAAACATTTTCAGTAGCACCTTATTATTGTAAATTCAATTAAAAACGCTTCATTAATCCAAAAGAGCTCCTTTTACAGTTCACTTTTTTTTTAAGTTTGAATTTTGTTTTTCTAGTAAATTTCTGACTCTTGAAAGAAACTTCCAACTTTTGAAGCTCAAATTTCCACTTTTTTATTCTAGACCATTTGAGTTCCTTTTTTCCTTTTCTCTTTTTATTTTTGTGCAATGGCCCTAATTCGCCGTTGTTGCTGTAATTTATGTTTTCACACTGTGCACATTTTTAAAGACTGCATTAAAAATGTTCTGTCTTTTCTGTTTGGTCTGCCTCGATGCTGTAATTTGGTAAAAACCACATCCGGCTTTTCTCTCTGCAACTCAGAGACCCTCCTGCTGTAATTGGCCATTTTGCTGGAGGCACTTCTGCTCTGATGTCATCAGACGTCATGGGGCGTCCCGTCTCCCAAACGCTCTGGTAGAGAGCGAGGAGGAGGATTAGGATTACAATCCAGAGGTTTTGCCTCCACAGAATCTTCCTGCTGAGACATGATGACAGTAATCCAGCCAAACATTTAAGGCAATATTTAATCTGATTATTAGCAACTCTACGTCTTTTGAACATGCAGTTTTTTTTATTTCAGGCTCAGTTAACAGAGTTGCCTTAAGCGTCTAAAGTCGGACTGTTCCTCTGCTTTGTTTTTTACTAAACGTTTCCCCGTTGCGCTCTGCCTGATGACTTCAGACAGACGGTGCTGATTTAACCTTCTGATGGCGTCGGTGTGGCGACGCGTCAGGAGCGATGGAGGCAACATGGCGGCTGAACAGCCTGCTGGAGTTAACAGGAGAAACTCCCAGTGCTGGAACGCTTCCGGCTGGGAAATCTGGAGACGTTTCAAATTTAATCAGCATCATTTTGTCTTTGTGGAACAGAGGAGGTCATTTTCTCAAAATCCTGCTCAGAAGTTCACCAAAGGTTAAAAAGCTGCAGAATAAATGAAGAAATTAAACTTTTTTTCCCCTCAATATCTCAGTTCCTGCAAAATTTCTCTTTTATTTATTTATCTTTTGCACAATCAAAATCGCTAATTTTGTGACACCACATCAGAAATATTGCCAAGGAATTTTTTGGTATTTTTGCAGTAATTGTCTCTGCTCTTATGGAGAACATGTCATCTGCGTTTATGTACGACAATAAAAAATTAGTTTTTTTAAATTCAGATCAACTGTAAGATTAAATATTGTGGCCAGTGAAAGATTTATTTCTATTTTTAATTATAAAAATAGTCATATTACCAGAATAAAGTCATACTAGGATAATTAAATGGTATTTTCATGGGAACTTCTGCAGAAAAAGTAATCAAATGGTCACAAACTGGTAAATACAACCAATTTGTTTTCAGCCAATTGCTAAATAAACATACATACATTTTATGTTTAAAATAAAAACATTTCGTCTGTAAATATGTTTTGGCCAAAATGCGTCAAGTGGCAAAGTTTAGCTTCAAATTCACTAAAGGATTCTGTTTTTACTTTTTAGGCAATAAAATATTTTTTATAAACTGTTCATTGGGATATTTTATTGTACTTTTAATATTGTATAAAAAAAAAGATTAAGTGGTTAAATGAGAAATCGGCAGAATGTGGCAATTTTTAAAACTGGATTAATCAGAATAATATTTAGTTGCTTCACCTGCAGGTTCTTGTTGAATCAGTCGTTAATGGCTGTTCGTTTGCTTCGTATTGTTGCTGATTGCTTCTGTCAACACTTCTGGGTGTGTGTGACGTCTGTGTGTGTTTTCCATTTTCTGTCAGCTTATGAAGCTGCTTCTTCCTCTTTTGATGGCCTTCCCTCTTAAAAAGCTGTTTTTAGTTTCCTTATGACTGAAGGTGAAATACCCCAGTGAAGCCATGATGGGTTTTTATTTGGAGGAACAGAATCTGTAACAATAGTTCCACTTCTGCTTTATTTTCCAGCTGTGCTTCACTGTTTCTGTCATCCACTAGCCTCTCTGATGCTAACCCGTTAGCCTGCGTTTGTTTTTGTCATTCCAGCCTTGGGAGCGGCCTACGGCACCGCTAAGAGCGGCACAGGCATCGCCGCCATGTCTGTGATGCGGCCGGAGCTCATCATGAAGTCCATCATCCCCGTGGTCATGGCTGGTATCATAGCCATCTACGGCCTGGTAGTAGCAGTGCTGATCGCCAACAACATCTCAGACAACATCTCTCTTTACAAGTAAGCTTTATGTTTTATGTACGTTTACAATAACGTTCTCATCACCAGTAAATCAAAAACTACCTATATTGGAATAGATAATACATCTGGTAGCGTATTCAACATATAGACTATTCCAG